TCAACAATCATCTGGGTCTGCTCTCCGGACTGTTTAACCGCTTGGGCCACGGCAGCACTTACGACTGTGGAACCGGCATCGGCAACCCCTGCTGCTCCAGCGCCTGTCCTCCTACAAGACTGGCTATAGTCGCCTCGCCGCCGACTGTGGCTACGAGGAGCAAGCCGCCGTGCCCCTTACCCCTCGCGATTTTACCACCCTCATGGATCACCTCTGGTCCGGATTCCAGGCTTCCACCACCTCCCTAGCCCGCCTGCTGTTGCTACACGATATGTTGTGCTGCCAATTTATGCGGCACACCAGCTACCGCGGCCATGACACAGGCAAACTGTGGCTACATGATTTCTGTGACCCGCAGGGTGGTGGTCCCTTCCGTGAAATACCGGACCCATTCGGTGCCTACCCCTCCCTCTCCTTACGGATTGAGCAACTTGGGACCAAAACATCCAAAGGGCGCCGAGCTCCCCCTTTGGAACTGCACCCCAGCCCTTCTCCACGACATTGCTTCATCCGCACCCTCGCCCTCTATTGGCAGCTGTGCCATGCCCCCCATGCCCCCCCAGGGTCCGCCATCTCCGACTACCTCTTCCATCCCACTGACCGGGATCACCAACACTTCGTGGAGCGCCCGTTTTCCAGCAGCACTTTGGCCATGCGAGTGGGCAAACACCTGGAGGAGGCTGGTGTTTACATCAGGCAAACCCCTCATGGGTTTCGTCGTGGTATTATCCAGGCCACGCCGGCCGCTGGCGCCTCCCACGAGGAGCTCCACACCTTCTCCCAGATCCGCAGCCCTCAAGTCCTGGAGCGCTACACCGACGCCTCTCGGCCCACTCGTGTCCCTCGCGGCTCCGGTCCCCAATCCTAGCCTCCGCCTCCTGCTGGTGCTGCCCCTCTTAGCCCTGGTGCTCACTTCGTGGCTCGTCCTCCGCCCTTTCCCCACCACATCGACGGGCGGGTGGGCGGGGTTCTGACTTGTGCTTGCTTGCACAGTTATCGGGCGATCTTGTGTTGTCTGAAGTTAGCGCCTTGTTCCCAGCTAATCTTTGTAACGAACTAGGGTATCCGTCCCTGTCCTCTGCCCAGCTCTGGGCTGCGAATTCCTGCGCCACACTTGCCGTACCGCACTACAGGATGAGCACTTAATCAACATGCATTGCTTAAATGTCAGCGTGTGATCCGTACTCCCTACTAACTTTCTGTGGGGAAGGCCATTGCGTCTGCGACCACACTCCCGCGGTACCCAAACCCTT